GAGGGCTACAAGAAACGAAGTGAGTAGCCTACAAGATTGAAGCTGGTCAGATAACGAACGAGTAAATGAAAACGGAATGAGGCGGAGAGAGTGTGTGTGTGTGTGTGTGTGTGTGTGTGGTGGGGGGGGGGGGGTGGTGTGAGATTAAAATAGCACAATTGCTTTTACAATAAATAAACATTGAATGTGTTTAATTGAATAGTAAAGGGGTTTAACGTTAGTGGCAGGTTGTGTGTGAGAGAGAATAAATAAGACAGCCCAATATTTAAAAAAATGGTTATTCTTTCCCCCCGCATTTTTAGCCTATTTCGCAACTTTCCGCATATTTCCTAACTTCCCGCAATTTCACCGCATAAAATCACATAAAACCCCGCATGTTTAATCGCATAATCAAGGATTTTAGCCCGCATAATCAAGGAATTTAGCCCGCCTTTTTCTGGAGGGTCTAACTTGTTGAGTTTATTAACTTAGTTACTTTACACCAGTGGCTATAAAGATAGAAAGACTAACCCTTGCACAGAGGCATGAAAATACATTTTTAAAATGCTCAACAGTGCTGCCAAAATTATAAACTGACTGCTACAGTGTAGCAGTCAGTTTATAATTTTGGCAGCTCAGCTACACAAATAAATGCTTTTATACATTTCAATTAGATGTGGCGTTTCTGTTATTACTAACTGCTTTAGTTGTTCTGACTGCTAAAATACTCTGTTATTCCTAACTTTAAAGCCGATATTCCGTGGGGTAGGGGGGTCGGATCCTTGTCACCTTTTTCATACCTGATGAGTTTGCATCCCTGTATTTAAATGCCTCAGTCTTTCCAAGGTGCATACCTAATGTTTACTCCTGACAAATGTAATCACATCATTGACCGAGTTTGTGGAAGTAGCCTCCAGAGGGTCGGTCCAGTCAGTTCCCTGTGATAATGGTAGTTCAAGCTACACAGAAATTAAACTGAAGTTGAAGTCGCTGATTTTCTGCTCCAGCAATGTCTGCACCAAAAAGCCCACTGAGCTGTTGTTTTGTACGTGACGATTCTGAGTTTGACCGTATCTGGTTGTGTGAGCTGTGTGAGTAAGCAAGAATTCATCCATGTGTTGGTTGTAGGTTATAAACAGTTTTAACACGGATAGAGCCACCACACAAGTGTATATTTGAAGTTACTTTTCCATTTTCTATCCCTCAAAACCACTTCACACCTTGAAAATTGCAAGACATTCAAATGTTGGCCATTCTCCACCTGAGTATAAGGCAGACCTCAAAGGGATAACACATCTGGGTTTAGCGGTGGACTCCCCCGAGGTTGTATGAAGAGGGAACGATAAACACTTGCAAATAAGGTTCAGTTAAACATCCTGGGTTTAGACCTATCCTAGGATCCTTCCACTGAGACCATACCATAAGGGGAGAAACTTCACATTCTGTGTACCAGTATATGGTTGTTGTATTGCAAGTGGTAGAAGCAATTCACAGTTTAGAAATAAATCCTCCAGTTACCCATAAAAAAGTTAGACACGTGAAAATGGCACACTGATTAAATACTGAATAAGTCACTCAAACATTGAGTAGGTCAGTTGCTTCAGCTCATCATTTATTTTCACAAACCAATGTGTTCACATGGACATCTTTCCTGTACGACTGTGTGAACTTTATGCTTGATTTGTATCTGTGTGTATTAAGTAAGATATTATCTGTGTATGTGTTTTCAACGCTTATCACTCAAGGCTACATGCCTCTCTTATTTGTCCAATCAGACATGAGCTCTACGGCCTTGTGGTTAATCTCCTAACCAATTAAAATGAAGATATTTATTTTTCTCGTCCTTTCAAGGCTTTGTGTTAGTAAGCAGTTGAACAAAAATATTCAGCATTCCATACAGTAATTCACAATATGAACAGCCAAGGACACTGTGGCAAACGTTCTTGTGCTGTGTTTTGCATTTCTTTTAAATACGCTCATTCTGACATCTGTCTGTGCTGAGACCTTTTTTTTCGTAAACGCTAACCCGAGAACAGTACATGACAGGAATTCGATACCTACAAGAAGAGTTTCCCCTGTAGAAAAGATGGTCTGATTACATTTGCGGCACCATGCTGCATAGATTTACATATTATTGAGCAAAAAAACATATTACTGAAACTAATGTATCTTCTCATTGCTTTAAGTTCATATTGATGTCATGCAATGTTTGTTTAAGTAAATAATTGGCTTAATTAATGCATTCAGTAGCATGTCTGAATATTTTAATACAGTATCCCAGTGATTATGATTGGATATTGTCAGCATAAATGCCTTAGTTTATTCATACCCTTGGAAGAAAACTTTTAGGCGAAGGTGACTGAAATAATTAATTCACAATCAAAACAGTGCCTCATCAGCATGTGTTCAACATTGTTTTTTCTAGTATGCTGTGTTGATTTCCAGGTATAATCATGTTCACTGCTGGTATAGCGCTCAAATAGTGAATCATAAATCACATTTTAATATTAGCTGCTTTTTTTTAAACGAAACCCCAGGTGCTACATTTTCTGCAACTGCTGATAGCTCATGGGATGGCTGTTTTTCATTTCTTATTCATTCTCTCATGGTGCTGTGGTAATACTAGAGCAGTCATTCCCTTTTTCTTCCTCTGTTAGGAAAGATAAGTTTTAATATTCAATATCCCTCATCCATTTGTATTATTTCTGCTTAATGTGTGGGTATAAAGAAAAGGAAGGAAGAGGGAATAGAGTTCACAGTTGGTGACAGGAGAAGAGACAGAAATGGTGGGGATGTGATCTGGCGCTGGCCTCCTGCCAGAAACTATAAGAAGCAGAAAACTGAGGCATGGAGTTGATCGGGGGAGCCGAATGGAGTTGTGTAGAGCAGATTGGGTATTAAAGTTGAG